CTTCCAAGGGAAGGAAGCAGCCAGTAGTGCTACCCAGCTGTAATGCCTATGAACCACAACACCGTCCAGCACGGCAGGGTGCAACAGTGGAATGCACATCTTGGGGGGAACTAAATGTAGCCAACTCCCTGTGGCTAGTGACATAGTGAACCCACCTCTACCTTACTAAACCACAGATACATGTAGCTCTTACACCTCATCAGATAATCTTTACATAGGTAGAGACATTACAAAACCCACAATTATCCAAATGCAGAGAAAACTTATCAAGGGATAAGCCCCATCTGCAACACAATTCTTGCCACTAAGGCTTAAGGATCTTCACTAAAGCAGGTGTGGAAAGACTGTAAGAGCCAGAGGACCAGGAATTCTTGAGGTTGTGTCTCCGAAATGACATGGAAGCTTCAACATTACGTACGGCTGCCTAAACAATACCAAAACAAGTACAGCACTAATCAAAAGATTTTCCAACATGGAATGGCACATCTCACGGGGTTCACCCCTAGGTAAAGGGACAGAAAACTAATGACTACTGAGAGGAGAAGTTGTCTTCTCGGGGATGAGCCCCTAATTGGTTATCCAGTACCAGTTGATCAGCCCTGGAATGGTATACACACAAGTAACATTGTATGGACTAAGCGAGTTATATTTATATATTTATGCATATGTGTGGCCATGAGTTTGAGAGAGCAGGAGGGGGCAGGGTTAGGTAGCATGCGGTCAGCCCCTCATAATTCCATCTTTTGCTGCCATAGAAGGTTGAAGGTGAATCTTAGTTCTCTTAGCAGTGAGTTATATAGGCAGACTTTGCTCTGAGCTTCTGAGTCATTAGTTGGAAGGATGCACCTTCAATACACATTTGATGGGAACTTTGAATTTGTAGTAGCTCTTTAGGTTTGGGAGTTAATATTGTATACCTATTGTTTTGTTGTTCATTTCATTAATGAACTATAAAAGGACCCAAATGTCACTTGTTGCTTCTTTGTCACACCATGTGGTGGTATGTATTCTACTGTTGGATGAGAGTGAAAACATAGAGAGCTAGGAATTTAAATTTACAATCATTTAACCATGAATTTAGTCACAGATTAAGGTTTTCTGAGTTTACTGATGGGATTTACATGCTCAGTATTCCCATGTACTGCTCTGATGTGATAGAAGAGAAAGCAAACCACTTCAAGTGTCCTTTGAGAAGATAGCCATTCTTAAAAACTTGGAAGACTTGCAGGAAAGCTTCCCTGTGGGGTTGGAGGTTTTGGGGTGTGATGGACAGTAGGCAGGAAGGTGAGATAAACGTGTATACATCCTATGGGAAACAATTAGGTGGCTTCTTCCTGCATGCAGCCACTATTCAGAAGGCCTTGGTAGCAGCAGATGCAGCGATTGTCATCATAGAGCTCGGTGATGGCTTGTATAGTGTTTGATCTCCCCCAGAGACAGCACGTTTGCCGATGTAGGCTTTGCTCCATGTGCATGCTTTACCCAGGATTGCTTTGTGCTAAGTGAGTCTTCATCCTGGGATTGTTTATTTTCTCCACGATGCCTACTGGGACACTGGGCACGTGCTCTCTTCTTCCTTTCCATGTTTCCAGAGAAGTGATGATTAGAGTTCTTTACTCTGCTTTGTGGCTCTGTAAATATGGAGCTCAACGTTCTTACTTGAGCTGTGTCTATGCTACAACACCATTTGTGTGTGTTGTGTGTGGTGTGCTGTGGGCTTGTAGTGCATTCATAGATCTAGTCTCTTTCTTACTGGGGAGGAAACCGAGATCACATGGCTGTTCCCGGTGATGCTGTGGTTCATGTGAGAACTAGGTCAGGAGTGCAGCCCCTCAGGATGGGCAGCTGTCGTTCTGCCAGTCCACTGCCAGCCTGCCTGAGGGCTATATGGCAGGACCTTCATTTCCCAACCAAGAAGCTGTAGTAAAGTTCCCCAAAGGGAAGACCCTGGCCTGGCTTATGTACTCTCCAGATGCACCAGAGTGTAGTCTACTGTCTTCACAGACTGGAATAGTCAGTGTTAGAGCACAGGCTTTCCTTCTTCCCTCCCTCCCTCCCTCCCTCCCTCCCTCCCTCCCTCCCTCCCTCCCTCCCTTTCTTTCATAATTGTTTTTAATCGTATGTGCATTAGTGTTTCACCTGTATGTATTTCTGTGTGAGGGTGTTGAATCCCCTGGAGCTGGAGTTACAGACAGTTGTAAGAGGCCTTGTGTGTGTTGGGAATTGAACTTAGGTCTTCTGGAATGAGCAACCAGTGCTCTTAACCACTAAGTCAGTTATCTTTCCGGCCCCCTGTTTTGTTTTCTTTTTCTCTTTATTTTATTTATTTTCCCCTGAGATAGGGTCTCAGTATTTAGCTGTGGCTGACCTGTATCTCATTACGTAGGTTAGATTCATGGAGATCTCCCCACCTCTGCCTCCTAAGTGCTGAGATTAAAGGTGTGCTCCACTACAAGCAGCACTTTCATTTTTTGTTTTTTGAGACAGGGTTTTTGTGTGTGTGTGTGTGTGTGTGGCTTTGGAGCCTGTCCTGGAACTTGCTCTGTAGACCAGGCTGGCCTCAAAATCACATAGATCGGTCTGCCTCTGCCAGCCAAGTGCTGGGATTAAAGGTGTGCACCACCACTGCCCAGCTAAGATTTTAATTTCAAAGAACATAATATTTATACTAAAGTAAGTTAATTATTTTTATGTAAACATTGCAGTGTATCAGCCTGCTTTCGTGTGATTTTGTATTTCTCATAAAAGTAGAGGAAGGCTTATTGACTGTGTGTTTCCTTCCCTATGTCAGTGAGGGGAACCGTAAAATGGTATCCTTGCTTTGCCAGCAATGTTTAACCTGTTACTACTTTCTTATTGTCAGAGTGACAGGCCCTAGGTGTCTCTGCAGTTTTACTGTTATCCTTTGGTGATCTGTCCATATGGGAAAGTCCTCACCTTTGCAAGAATTTATCCCGGTTAGTCGAGAGGCATACCTGGCACTTGTGGCCTACAAATTCTTAATGTCTATGTATCTTAATTATTTATACCTTAATATACTTTAGTACCTTAATATTTATAATAACTACATCAGCTTGTGATGCTGGCTCCTCCCTGTCTTTTGTTCTGGACTTTGGTTGTCGGTGGACTGTCTTCCATTGTACCATCCATGTGTTAACGAAGTGTCACAATCTGATATACCTCCCTGTGGAGTATATGTATTTGATATATCTCCCAGGTGGAGAAGTATCCCTTCATCACTTCATGTTGTGGCCCAGGCCAGACTCTGGCCCATAGCTTTACAGCTCGGTGGTACTCTAGGAAGCCTGGTCTCTATAGCCCTTACACAGTGGAGTCATCCTTTCATGGGATCTTTTTTGTAAAACAAATGAAACTTGTTTTAGTTGGTTGCATGGTGACAGGAAATGGATTAAAGCTGTGACACAGTATCAACCTTGCTTAGTTCTTAGACATCACGGGTGTTATTGTAACTGCTAGAAGTGTTCCCAGAGTCCTTTCTAAGAACCCGGTTGACCTGTAGGGTCTTGGGCTCATGCCAAGGGGCTGCGCATTGTTGGCGGCTTTCTCTCTGTGCCACTCCGGGCACTTCTGCCCCTTGCAGCTTTGTGATCTCTTGAGCTTGGGGCTTTGTTGCCTCTTTCTTACTCTTTATACTTTCTAGCCTGTGTTGGTAATTTTTGACCCTGAACTTCAATTTCTTAGCGTTTTGTTTGTTTGAACTTCTTTGTGGTGAATTGAATTCACCTTCCACAAGTGTGTTGGCAGTTTTGCCGTTTGTGGGGTACAGGAGCACTGCTCATTTAGGGCGTCATTGAACTTCATGTCCTGTGTGGGTTTGCTGCTGCTGCTGTTACATTGCACAAACACACAGAGCCATGGGTTTTCATGAGGGTTAGCTTGCGGTTATGAATTGTTGGAAGGGATTTGTTTCTTCTTCCTGTTATGCCAATGGCAAGCACAAGTCGTGTACGTTTCCTTGTTGTCTTCCTGTAGAACTGGATTATATCTTGGCCAAAAGTAGACTGAAAAGGAAGAGGTAAAGAAATAGGATCAGGGACTGGGAGTTTGCTCAGCAGTTCAGGGTGCTTGCTGTTCTTGCAGAGGACCTGAGGCTACTTCAGCATGTCAGACAGCTCACACACACCTGTAACTCCAGCTCCTGGGAATCTGGCTTCACGTGCATAAATACCCAAACTCAACACACACACACACACACACTTAAAAGTAGTAAAAAGAAATTATTAAGAAAGTAATAAATATCATCAGATAAGTCCTAGCTCTCAGGAGGCTGGAACACTGGGGCCCAGCCATCAGGCTGGCCTGTGTTCTCTGAAGAAGAAAATGAAAGAGTAGCGGTAAACACAGTGTTGGTGGACAGGACAAGGACAGAACAGGGCAGCCACGCACCATGTGACATTGGGTGCTGAGCAAAGGGAGAAAGATGTGAATGGGAGGGAGTGGATGCTCTGTCTGTTGGAGTCTGGCTCTGTTCAGTATTCTGATCCTGGAAGTGTCTCCTGTTGGCCTCCTTTGCCTGCAGGGTCACTGCTGCTTACTCCTTGCACATCTGGCCGTTACTTCTGGGTCTTCCTCTCAGACAATGGGTTATAGATACCCGTCCAGTCCTGGGCAGCCTTTCACAGATGGTTCCCCCATCCTTTAGGAGTCCCTTTGCACATGCGGGCTGGCCCTGTACTGTGAGTGCCTGCCTTCCATAGGATTTCAGCTCCAGGGTGATTGCCATCAGATTCTGCCCTGTGAGAAGTCAACAGTTCTCTTTGGTTGCTTAGGAGGAAGGGGTGTGTTAGGAGCATGCTTCCTGACTGGTTTCTGTAAACTGGGATTTAGTTACGTGAGTAAAAGCTGTTCATCTTCAAATATCATTCTTTGTTCTTTATTGCTGTGATATGAGTTTGATCTTTTAAAGGATGTCTCTGCTTATGTGATTGGACATTGTAGAAATATTGTAAATCCTGAGATTTGTGGTTTTCATTTTACAGGGCGCCAATGCCTCGGCATTAGAGAAAGAGATTGGTCCAGAACAGTTTCCGGTCAACGAGCACTATTTTGGATTAGTCAATGTAAGTATCAAAGACACCCAGCCTTAGAGAGTCACGTGACACTTTGAGACACTGGTTGCATGCTCTTCCTCATTCATTAAATAAAAAAAATAATGACATCTTGAAATTTGCAGGCAAATGGATGGAGCTAGAAAACATTTTGAGTGAGGTAACCCAGATGCAGAAAGACAATTATCACATGTACTCACTCATAAGTGGTTTTAAAACATAAAGCAAAAAAAAAAAAAAAAAAGCCTACAATTCACAGTCCCAGAGAACCTAGACAACAAAGAGGATCCTAAGAGAGACATACATGAATCCAATCTACATGGAAAATAGAAAAAGACAAGATCTCCTAGTAAATTGGGAACATGGGGACCATGGGAGAGGGTTGAAGGGGAGGGGAGAGGTAGGGAGGGGAGCAGAGAAAAATGTAGAGCTCAAAATCTAAAAAGGAAAAAGAAAAAAATGTGAAAAAAATAAAATAAAGAAAGAAAGAAAGAAAGAAAGAAAGAAAGAAAGAAAACCCATTTGTTTGTGCCATTAGAATGCCATGCTGAGACACTGTATTTAGGAATTTAAATTTCTCTGTAGCTGCCTGAGATCTGAAGACTCTCAGGGTAGTTTCAAAATTGTGGGCTTCATTTTCCCAATTCTGGGAAAAAATTTTCATAGTGAAAGTTTGACTTAAACTAGACATGATTGCTCGATCCCGTGCGAGTTGTAGCCCGCATGTGCCTGCATCAGTACAGTCATGCATATGCATCCCTCTGTCAGGGGCTGCCGTTGTGCATCCATCCTTAAATCCCAGCAAGAACTTTGGAGTTTAACCAAATGTGTGTGTGTTTTTTTTTTGTTTTTTTTACACAACTAAAACTCATCAAAATAAAATAAAAAAAAACATGCTATTATTTTCCTGGTTCTAACTGTCATGGATATTTCAGTCATGGTGGTGGATAAGTGCATAAAAATACATTTGATAGGAGAAGCGTGAAATCTACCATGACGCTCCACAGCCCCGCCTGGAATGGCTGGCTGCTCTGTCTCTAGAAGTTCATGGGGTTGTATTGTCTTCAGGTCTGGTTAATTTTGAGGTGTGACTTCACCCCTTTTTTAAAGGATATCTGGAACCTGCGGGCCAGTGTAATTTCGAACAGTGTTTATGCTTCTCTTGAAGCTCCTTGGCAGTCAGGTTAGGGTGAACATAGGTTAAGCTAAGGAGAGCCCATTGAATTAATTGGATGGATGGAAATAGAGCTTGTGATATTCATGCCTCATTTTTACAAACTGTGCCACTTCTGAGGGGCGTTGGGACCCAAGGGTTGTGGTGCTGTGGTCTTGGACTCGCAGAGTCATGGCTCTTCCCTGTGGTTTACACTTTGACACACTTCCAGCTCTTAGTTTTCAGCTCGCTCTGCTTCTGTCTTGTTAGCTTGCCACTTTTTCATTTTTAGAATCATCACACTACTTACTCATAGGTGTCCCTTAAATATCAAGATTGGCTCAACTCTCTTGAGATGTACGCCCACACTTGGGGTGTACAACTGTCCTTTCCTAAAGCATGAATTTCTGTCTGTTTTGTCTTAATGTATGTGATTAAGTCTGTATTAAAACTCCAGCTTTGCTTAAAAACAGCAAAACAAACCAGCATTGACCTTGGGGGTAGTGATGTGGAGGATGGCGTGGTAACTCAGAGGTCAGTGTTTTAAGTCATTTCCCCTGTCCCTGTAACGTTTGTGTCAGGTAGGTAGTACTGTAAACAATACTGCATCCTTGGAGCTGTTTTAGAACTTTTGGAATGGGGTGGGATGTAGCTGGGTGGCAGAGCACTGTGCAGCTCAAGACCCTAAATTCTATGCTCCCCAATTGCAAGGGGGTAGGGGACAGGGAGGAGGACACTTCAGGGTTTTGTTTAAAGAAGAGGCATGTGTATTTTTTCCATCAGCCTTTAAGTAGCTGCATTTCCAGGCTTAATTGCTTTTACAAAAAGTATATACTAGAAGAATTGCTACCAGACCTGCCTTATGGGAGGGAGGGGGGTCCCTTTTGGGCTATGAAGGTTAAGGTCACCTACAAGCACTTGTCTGTGGGAGTTAAGCACTTTGTTTACATATCAATGAGATAACCACAGTTTAATTAGCCTAGCATTGTTAATGATCACCTGGTTACAGGTTTTGTTTTTCTTTTAATCTGTTTTAAAATTTTTCCTAACTAAATTCTTTTAAAACCTTGTTTTGGGCTTTGATCGTGAGGTTGTATAGGTGCATCTGTGGTGTTGGGAGGTGAGAAACTTGCAGAAGAGTGTCTTCCTGGTGAAGGATGCCCTGAGTAGAGCTGATCATAGAGGGCTGTTTCTTCATTGCTTTGTGTGAGCCCGCCCACCTTTGAATGCTTGGCCGTGTAGTTCTCACATCACTCTTCAGTACACACAAGTGGGTTAGGCTCAAGGACTCCATTGGGAAGCTCCTGTGAATCATTATTAGTAAAATTGTGCTTGCTGGGGCTGGAGAGACAGCTATGAGGTTAAGAGCACTGGCTGCTCTTGCAGAGGAGCTGGGTTTGGTTCCCTGCATTCACATGGATTCACATGGTTGCTCACAACCATGTGTAACTCCAGTTCCAGGAGATTGTACTTCCTCTTCTGGCCTCCCTGGGTACTGCATGGATGTGGTGCCTAGACAGGTGCAGGCAAAGCATCCATACATGTAAAATAAAAATAAATAAAATTTCAAAATGTTTTTAAAGATTATTATTTTCTTTCTAGATCTTATATCAGGCTCTTTAAACTGAGTTGTTTGGAACAAGGCCTGGTGTGAAGAAGAGAGAATAAAATGAACTTGATTAGGTGAAGGTGTGTCCTGTCTGTTCCTTTTGTTTGTTTGTTTGTTTGCTTGTTTGTTTGTTTTTTGTAGTTTTTTGAGACAGGGTTTTTCTGTGTATCTTTGGTTATCCTGGACCTCACTCTGTAGACCAGGCTGGCCTCAAACTCACTTAGATCTGCCTGCCTTGCCTGGGATTGATTTGATTTCATTCTTGTCCCGCTTCTCTCCACCTGGCAGCAACAGCCTACTTGATGGTTATACTTCAGAGATGCTAGAGGTTTTCTGGTCAAAGAAACATGGCCCAGAGACCCTGGCTAGATGCGAAGAGACTGGTGTGATCAGCACCAGATAGTGTGTGGATAGGGGGTGTTGGCTTGCACAAGGAAGGAAGCACGGGCCAGTAGCGTAAGAGTGGGAGTGAGCAACATGTCCACAAGATTCAGTAACAACCTTGGGACCCCTTGGTTGAGGTTGGAGTCACTTAAACCAGAGCTGGCTGGTTAAAGAAAGTAATTTCCTTAGTGGCCAGGGATAATGCTAGCTTGCCATACATGCAGAGGCCTGCACACACATAAACAGTATTATAAATTTTATTTTATTTTTTAGTTTTTCAAGACAGGGTTTCTCTGTAGCTTTAGAGCCTGTCCTGGAACTAGACCAGGCTGGCCTCAAACTCACAGAGATCCACCTACCTCTGCCTCCTGAGTGCTGGGATTAAAGGCGTGCGCCACAACTGCCCGGCCCGTTTTATGAATTTTAAAAAGTATTTTTGGGGCTGGAGAGTTTGGCTTTTGACACCCATGTCAGTTGACTCTCAGCCACCTGTAGCTCCAGTTTCAGAGGATCTGACTTCCTGTTCTAATAGATATCACACAGACATAAAAATAAAACTTTTTAAAAACTTGTATTTCTTCTTAAAAAAAAAATACTTCTAAGCCAGGAGTGGTGTCACACACCTTTAATCCCAGCACTTGGGAGGCAGAGGCAGGGGGATCTCTCTGAATTTCAGGCCAACCTGGTGTACAGAAAGTGTTTCAGGACAGCCAGAGCTGTATAGTGAGACTCTGTCTCAACTCCCCTCCCCCGAAGCAGGTTATTAATTATTAATTATGAAGATTGACTATTAACTGATTATCGGGAAAGAATTCTGACTCTTGAGTTTTCCTTAATGGAACTGATTAAAGTTAAACAGAAGAAAGCCATCCAGTGGCCGGACTTAGGACTGGGTGCATGCTACCTGCTGCTGTGTTCTCAGAAGAGGGCCAGGCTGCCTTGGTCCCAGTGGGAATCTGCACTAGATAGTTTTATGTCAACTTGACACCAGCTAAAGTCATCTGAGAGGAAGGAGTCTTAGTTAAGGAATTGTTGTAAGATTGGGCTGTCAGCAAGTCTGTAGGATATTTCTTAATTAGTGATTAATGGGAGAGGGCTCAGCCCATTATGGATGGGATCCTGGGCTGATGGTTCTGGGTTCTATAGAAAGCAGGCTGAACAAGCCATGAGGAGCAAGCAGCCAGTAACCAGAATTCCTACATGGCCTCTGCATCAGCTCCTGCCTCCAGGTTCCTGCCTTGTTTGGGTTCCTGCCCCAACTTCCATCAGTGATGGACTACGATATGGAAGCATAAGGCAAATAAAGCCTTTCCTCCCCAAGTTGTTTTTGGTTGTGGCGTTTCATTAAGTAACAGTAACCCTGACTAAGCTATCTCACAGTTTTCATGTACATGTTACAGATACCCTCTGGTTTCTCAGCCTGTGCTGTTTGTGGCTTTGAGTTTTACAGGCAGTAAGTCCTCTTTATCTTCACTTTTCTGATGGAAGTTCTGATGGAACTGTGTTTTGCTTTTCTCGCATTTCTGTGGAAGTTGTTAAATTCCTGCTGCATGTCCTTTGAGAAGGACGTCCAAATGCTGGGTGTTGTCCAAATCATGGATGTTGTGTCTTTAGTTGCCAGCACCACACTGTGCTGATGGTTAGATTTCTGTGGTTGTGGTATAGATTCTGCTTTCCAGATGAGGTGATGATGGATGATTAATAATGGATCTTAGTGTTGTGCGTTCTGCAGGTGCTCTTTCTCTGGATAGGCGGGCTGTTGAGTGACCACAGCCTAGACGCCAGCAGCCATCCTGGGAAGTCTTCATTCACAGCGCCTTTTTGAAACAGTGCCAAGCAGGCATGAAGATGGGCAGCCACATGTTCTCAAAGGCCTTCATATCTTTTTCTCAGAATTCTTCAAAAAAAGATTCTAATTGTGCTGTGTATCTTAGTGGATCTTCAGGTTTCTGTTTGCTTAGTTTCTTGGAAGAAGAGCATGCAAACAGGAGGTTTCCTGTGGCCAGGCTTAAGCTTTCTAATTCTGGAACTGCAGGCTTTGCCTGGTTCTGCCTCACGGCCATTACTCTACACAGATTCCGTATTTGCTTTCAGTTTGACACGGGATGATCCCATTTACCTCAGAGAAGAGAGAGGGAGGATTATCAGACCACCTATTCACTCTGTAAGGTAGTGTCTCCTGGGTGCTCTTTGATGGGAGGAAATAGAAGTTGAGTAACACACAGAAGCATATGCCCGTGAGTCTACTGCTGAGGACCGACTACAGCCTTCTCTGTGGGCTCTCAGCCTTGGTTGTTCAACAGTCTCTCCAAACCAACATTCCCAGCCAGCTTGATTTTTAGCTTTTGTTCAGCGTTTGTGCTTAGTACATAGCACTTGAGAGATCTTGATACAAAAATCTTACTTTAGCATATTTTGGTGAAGGTTTTTGCTGTTGTTGTTGGATTTGAGACAGAGTTTCTCTATGAAGCCCTGGTTGTCCTGGGACTTGGCTCTGTAGACCAGGCTGTCCTTGAATTCATAGAAATCCTCCAGCTTCTGCCTCCGGAATGCTGGGATTAAAGGTGTGTGGCACCACTCCCAGCTTGTAAATTACATTTTTAAAAGCACGCTGTGTTACAACTCTTGTTAGTAATTGTGGGAATTTAGAAGATTAGATCGTGTGGTCCTCCGCCTCACCCAGGCACTCTCTCCACAGCTGCACTCTTCATTTAACGGTGCCGCTCTTTCCTCTTGTAGTTTGGGAATACCTGCTACTGCAACTCAGTTCTGCAAGCACTTTATTTCTGTCGTCCGTTTCGGGAAAAAGTCCTAGCATACAAGAGCCAGCCCAGAAAAAAGGAGAATCTTCTCACGTGCCTGGCAGACCTCTTCCACAGCATAGCCACCCAGAAGAAGAATGTTGGCGTGATCCCGCCCAAGAAATTCATCACACGGTTGCGAAAGGAAAATGGTAATTCTTCTGTTTCCCTGTGCTATTGCTCCTGTGTCCTCGGAAGGTAGAGTAGGTAAAGTATAGCATGCTATAGCTCAGGTGTTTTTGAATGTGGTCTCTTTGTGCCTCCCACTGGGTTAGCGGTTTTGTTAGTGACTGTGGTGGGCACAAGCTAGGAGAGAAAGGACTTGTTAGGATTTACACGTAGTCCCAGAGGGCAGTGTAGTCCATGCTGTTGGGAAAGCATGGCAGCAGGAGCAGGAGGGGCTGCCCAGCAGGGAGATCCTACTTCAGCCCTACACAGCACAGAAGTGGGGCCAGGTTGTAAAAGTTTACATCTTCCCCAGTGTCTACTTCCTATAGGAAGGCTCCACTTCCTGAAGGTTCCATAACCTTCTGTGTAGATTCAGCAGTGATACCTAAGTATTCAAACACATGAGCCTGTGGGGAGGCAGAGATGTGGCTCCTGTGTTCAAGGGGGTGTGGCTCCAGCTCTAGTGATGGATGGGGGTATGATCATTTTTAGAGTAGGCTACTCAGGTAAAATCCATGTGCCATGGAGTGAGAAACCCTTTCTCTTTTGTACCCTCAGGTGTTTGTTTTTTGTTTTTGTTTTTTGCCTTGTGTGGTAGTATGTGCCTGGAATCCCAGCACTCAGGAGGCTAAGACATAGACACAACTAGTCTGTGGCCAGCCTGAACAACATAAGATCCTGTTCCCCACTCCTACCCCCTCCCAAAACAAAGCAAAAGAAAACACATATTTTCCATGGAATGTGATTCTTTGGTTGCACATAACTTTCCAATGTTAATTCATTTATTTTTTAAAAACATGTTAGAGAGTACATTGCTCTTTGGGGAAAGATTCTGTTTGTATAACCCACACCATTTATTAAAAAAGTTTGATTCTATCACTTTTCTTACTTTGGCCATAAAACAAAAATCACAGAAGTTGAGACCATTTGGCTTTAGAATTGGTAAATGTTAATTTAGTCTCATTTCTAAAAATAACTACTGGGAAGCTCCACCTCTTTCTTATTTGAGATACTTTTTATTTAATTTTACAAGACATTGCCACGGGACGTGCTGCAGTTCTCCTGCAGTTCCTGGGAGGTGCTGAGCTGGTGTTTGGCTTCCTTGACCCATAAGCAAGCTCTGTCTCGAGGTGCTGCTGCCTCGGAGGCATAAGTGACAGTTGGAAAACCTGTGGGGTCCAGGCTTCTGTTCATTGTAGATATTTCAGTTCATGTAGAAGTGATTGAATTGTTGTTGAGTTTGATCTATCAAATCGATACTCTCAGAAGTATGATTGAAGAGGTCTTTGAGATTGGTGGTTGAACATACTAATGTGTAATTGAACCTTTACACTGTTGATGGAGTGAGCTGAAGTGAGCCTAGTAAAAGCCATCCTCTGTCATGAGGGGACCCCCACGGTAAGTGGCACAGCTGAAGCTGCTTCTTAAAGCTGGTAGGCATTCTGAAGAAGTATACATTTTCCTCACAAATACAAACATTTGAGTCCTGGGCACAGACCACATTTTCCTGTCGTGAGAGCTGTTTACTTGTTTAGATTTCAGATGTGCTTGGAGTTTTCTGTTTTTAAGAAACTCAGAGGACCAGGCGGTGCTGGTGTACTTTTAATCCCAGCACTCGGGAGGCAGATACAGGTGGATCTCTGTGAGCTTGAGGCCAGCCTGGTCTACAGAGTGAGTTCCAGGACAATAGGGCTACACAGTCAAACCTTGTCTCCAAAAAAAGAAAAGAAAAAAAAAAACCAGAAAACTCCAATCAATTTTTTGGAATATGGATTAAGTTATTGGAATTTTAGTCCTTGTGTCTGTATTGATGGTCACCTTTGGAAGTGTATCTGGTGGGAAGCTTTTGTGCATGGTAATGAGCCATGTTTTCTTGGTAACTGTTTTAGAGACGCCTACCATGCTTCTGTGTTTACACAGAGCCCATGTTATTTTCCATGTATAGAGTACTATGCTTTCATTGGCTTTTAAAATTGATTGCCTGCACTTTTTAAGTGCATGATGACTTGTTTTTCTTAAATGTTGATTGACACAGGTCAAGCTCAGTGCACACACACTTCTTTCCTTCTGCAGAGTTTATGCCAGCCACTCAGCTGTGGCCCAGGTGCTGAAGTTAGTGTTTCGAACATCCTATGTAGTTATATACTTGAAGGCTTTTTTAATGTTTATTTGCCAAAACCTGCGGCATGTTTATAGTGTTTTTTTTTAATAGTTGGGCATTTTCTAAAGTTTTTTTGTATTTAGGCAGAGTAAATTCATAAAGCAGCAGACCCACAAAGTGCTTGTTTCAACGAGAGGGGTGCAGAATATTTACAATAAATGTGATTTCTTCTAAGTTTCTTTGTTTTTCAACTTTAGAGATAAATTTAGTAGAAAAGAGTTCTCATTACTTGATATTGGTGACATCTGTAAATATGTTTTAGAATCCATTAGTGTTTGCCTCAGGCTTGTGTTTCTCCTTGAGGTTTTCATGTGGGAGCACACAGATCAAAGCGAGTTGACTGCACTATCCATTGCATGTGTTCCTTCTGATGGTTTATGGACATCTTTGGAAAACATGTCGCTCATCTTAGTATTGCTGGCAACGCTCTGGGCCATCCTGCCTGACTCAGCCTCCTCATGCTCTGTTAGCAGCATCTGCATTTTCAGTACGCACTCATCCAGGTCTGTCCACACCTACTACTTTACATTGCTAATTGTTTGGTATTTGGGAAGAGAGCATACGTTAACTTCTATTCATTAGTAAGTCTGGTTTTTAAAATTTTAACTCCTGATACTTACGCAAGCATAAGGGCTCCCCAAATGTAGTGTGACTACTTCAGCACCACAGTTGTGCTGCCTTTGATGACAATTTGGACGCTAGGTCATTGTTGGCATTGGTTATTATTACATTACTGATTTCCTGGTGTTCACTAGTTCTTTGGAGGTCCTGGGAATCTAGAAATGAGCCTCTGGGGGTTTGACCATTCACAGGGGAGGACAGGTACCAGAAACTGTTTATGCAGTGTGTCTTTGCTAAGAGGAGAAAGGAAGCCTGAGTGGCCTTGTCGGTATAGCTGTAGGTGTTGGGAAGACCCCTGAGCAAGGGCAATTAGAGACTTGACTTGTAGAAGCCTAGGGTAAATGTGATAGAAGAAGAAGACAAACAAACAAGCAGAAAGCCACACAAGCTACAGATATACTAGAGGATGGCCAGAAAGTTCACTTGGCAAGAGTATATGGTACCATGATGACTATTAGATACAGGACAGGCCCCAGAGCTTGGGAAGCTATCAGAAGCTATGATTTTTATTAGGGAAAATCCCTATGGGTGGGCATGGGCTGGCAGGGTGAGGGTTAGGAGGAGTCGGAGGCTGCTACATTCCTCGAGGAAGATGAGCTCCCCTGGCCGTTGCTACTTCCTGTAGGCTCACCATTATTACTGTGGAGGTGGTGCTGCACAGGTCTGTAGCGATAGGACTGGGTTAGCTGGTGCTTACTGTCAGCTGAACAATTTGTGGGCACTGAGGCCTTAGCAGTAGTTTCATGAACTTTAGCAATATATGCTGTGAATAATATGTTCATGTATGTATGTATGTAAAATGTATTTCAAGTTGTTATGAGCCATATCTCCTTTTTACATATCCTCGTATCTGATGGAGCACCTACTTTTTGTTCATTGTTCATTCGTTCATTCAAAAAATGTTAAGCGCATCCAGGATGCTGCAGCCCGGTGTGCTAGCAGTGCAGCTGTGACGGAGCTGAGGGTCTTGTTCTTAGGGAACCTGCAAGTGAAGGGCTCTTTCTCAGGTGCTGTGGGCTGATCTCACAATCGTGTGAGCCTATAAAAGCATAAATACATGGGTTCAAGCCTGGGTGTGCTTGAAGGAGCAGATGGCAGTTGTGTGCAAATGACACCGGTTAGAAAGACCGAGGAAGTTTCTCAATATTTACTTCATCCCGTTTGTTCACACCAAGACCACCACAGAATGTTTTATGAATGCTCTAGCTGCTTCAGTATTCGGAAGAAGACAGCCGTTGTAAGCAGTATTCTTCTCTTGAGTTAATGTTGCAGCTCCCTGGGGACTGTAGTAGCTTCTTTTCATACATTATTTAATACTGAAATTGTCTGTCTCTCCCCCTAGACTGTCAGTTCCATGATGGAGGGAACCCATTTGTTTTTCCTCACCATTGTCCTCCCAGCACATAATCCGGTTCCTGGCACATAGTAGGTGCTTACCAAATACTTGTTGAATGAGCAAATGAATGAATGAACTTGTTTAATTTACTGAAGCAATTTTGAAGTCCATTTTTGTCATTGTGAGATTAGTAGAGTGGAACACCACCCGTAAGAAAACCAGTGTTTCAGCCGGGCATTGGTGGCGCACTCTTTTAATTCCAGAACTCGGGAGGCAGAGGCAGGCGGATCTCCGTGAGTTCGAGGCCAGCCTGGTCTACAAGTGCTAGTTCTAGGACAGGCACCAAAACTACAGAGAAACCCTGTCTCGGAAAACAAAAACAAAAACAAAAAACCCCGTGTTTCAATATGAAACACAGTATAGCCCTGCAACCCTCCCCAGCCCTCCCTGCCTGCTCGTGTGCTGTTATTGTGTAATTCTACGGGTACCTTTAGCACTGTAAGTAGTTGTCTTTCAGGCTTTGCCAGATTCTGGCATACTGCACGTAGCAATACTAAAAACACATTACAGCAGAGTCTAGAGAGGTCGATGTGTGTCATTCTTAAAGGTTAAAGATATTTACAGTATTTCAGTGGATCTGAAGTCACTGTTATGTGGATTAACCCTTTCCTCCTCCCCCAAAAGATTTTAATTAAAAACTCATTTGCCTTTTTTAAAGTAAACAGTTATTTTGAAAGAACATGTATATATGGGGGAAATTACTGTTATAGAGGTGGCATTGACCCAGCATGTGCTGCCCACTGCAGTGAATTAATCATCCCTAGCTCGTAACTAGGTTCCCCGCTATTCTTAGACAACCTTCCCAACTCTCTTCCTTTCCCCTCAGCCCCTGCTTTGTTACTCCTCCCTGTGGCGTCTTCTTTGATGCCTAGACTGGCCTTGAACTCTGTAGCTCCTATTGGCATCAGACTTGCTGTGCTTCAGCCTCTTGAGTATATGGCCCTCACAGTCCGTTTCTGACTTTCCTACGTTCTTTTATCAGTTCTCTGGTTCCTAAACTAGTGAGCAAGTGAAAAGTTTCTTGTTTTGTTTTGTCATTTTTTAAAAAAGAAAACCAGTTTCACCCATAAACACTGAGATATTAAGTTCCTGTGGATGTTGGGGTGGTCCATGAATCAGACCATCCTTGGGCTGGGAGAAGTTGGAATAAAGGGTCAGGGGTCTCCGTATGACTGACTAGATCTTGATGCTTTTCCTTTGGTGGTGGATTCTGATATTCAAGCAAGAGTAGTAAGTTAGAGATAGCAGCTGCAGGCTGGCAAGCGTCACGGGTAGATGAGATGCAGCTCCTTTAAGCGGCAGGGAGAGTGGACAGTGAAGGGAGCTCCGGCATTAGGATGTAGTGCATCAGTAGAGATAGGGGACTCGGAGAGAGAGGGCGAAGCCATTGGTGCTTTCTGGGATGGAGGATTGACCTGCACTGGGAGGAAAGGTTAAAGATGATTGACTTTCACTATCTCAGCTTCACTTTTGAGCTTGCCGGGATGGAGTTGTCCTGAGCTCTAGTGGGGTTGTAGCGTGAATGGCAGCTGTACTCTGTAGGGGCAGGCTGCAGTGCCCTGCTGGGTAGGAGTGGGACATGGACCACAGTGCTTTGGATCTCCTGTCCCCGATGGGCAAATTCCAGCTTGCAAGTATAGCTAAGGATCAAGTGTGGTCATTTTGGGCTCAGGCATGTGGCACATTGGGACTTGGGCAGTTTTTGTTGTTGTTTTGTTTTTGAAACATGGTTTCTCGGTGTAACTTTGTCCTAGAACTCGCTTTGTAGACCAGGCTCTAGCCTTGAACTCAGAGATCCACCTGCCTCTGCCTCCTGAGTGCCCCAGCACCACACCCATCTAGAAACAATTGGGTCATAGCAGAGCTTTCTGTGTGCACTTAATCATGTCCAAATAGAAAGCCCAGATTGGGTTTGATGGCACCTAAATGGGATCCATTACACGTCTAGCTTCTTTCTTACTGAGTGTCTCAGAAATGTAGCCATGCTTGTTGACGAGGACCTGTTTCCCCATGACCATAGCAGAGCTATACCATGATTTAAATAAGCCACCCATTCTTTTCATAAACATTTAGCATATTTTTAGACTTCTGCTGTTATAAATGAGCAGCCATGCCTGGCCTTGCTCCACTGTATGGTGTGGATTCGCATGGTTGTGAGAGCTGGACTGCGTTCTGTTATAACCATCACCCAAACTGCTCTTCAGAACACGCTGTGCCATTCATTCCACAGCCCTGGCATCATTGCCAGAGAATGCCTCTTTCTGTTCAAACCAACTAAGTCATGCTTTTATGTGATGGGCAAAGTTGTGATTGCTGTGCTTTAATTTTTGTCTGCCAATTACTTGTTGAGTATTGTTTGGGTTTCTGACTTTTCAGTCGGCGTCACCTGTTCATCCTCCTTGCCTGTTTTCTTCTACCTTTGCAAATGAGACTTTAGGACTGGTTTTACTTTTGTTCTAGGACACTCGGATATTGGTATGTAGATGTGCACTCTGCCCTTGCTGTCCCTTTGCTTGTGTTCCCTGACTTTATCATCGACAGGAACCCTGATAGCCAGTGCTGTGTTCTCATCTCTCAGAATCTTGACGATAGCCTCATGAGGTGGGTGCCTTAGCACCCTGGAGTTAAGTGAGGGCCGTTGCACAGAGTTAACGCGGATGCCTTCGACCACCACGTATTTGGAGGTGGTGCCGTGGTGCTGTCAGATAGTCTCACTCTAACAGCTGCACTTGCCACTGGTGCTTTGTAAGACCTTGGCTTTGGGAATGATCCTAATGCATGACTGCGATCATTAGTGGCTCTTCAGAAACATCATTTAGATGGTTTCTTAGACATTCCCTACATTTTCCCCAAATATGTATTATTGTTTTTCCTTTGTGTGTGCTTGTATGTGTGTGTACTTGTGGGTATGTGTGTGTGTGCGAGCATGTGTATGTATGTGTGTTGAGATGCTAGGAAGCAACCGAGGGTCTCATGACAAGTTCTGTACCATTGAACTATATTCTCAGCCCTGTTAGCTTTAAAGGAAACATTTGTGGTCTTTTTGTTCTTATTTTGGCTTTTTCAAGACAGGGTTTCTCTGTAGCTATGGAGCCTGTCCTGGAACTAGCTCTATAGACCAGGCTGGACTTGATCTCACAGAGATCCACCTGCCTCTGCCTCCGGAGTGCTGGGATTAAGGATGTGTGCCACCACTGCCCAATTGTGGTCTTTCTTAAAGAGCATTGAGGATGTAAAAATAAAAGTCCCCTAAGTAGAGTTCTTTTCCATTAGTAGGGCCTACTTTGTATATTGCCTGGGGGTATGTGTTTAATTTGATTGGGGGGGGGGCGGCTCTTTTTTTCCTGGCAGGAAGACTTTACCTTCTCCAGTCCTTGTAAAATAAGGCCCCCTGCAATATGCAAAGCAAGGCCTGAGGCTGTTGACTGCAAAGAACTCTTGTGTGCTCAGAGGATTCAAGGAGCAGGCGCCAAGCCCAGCCCTGATGTTAACACTGTCAGTGTTTGTGGCTGCATGGGACATTCATGGAGCTCTAGCATCTCTCAGAGTGGACTTTAGTGATCATGTGGCCTAGGCGGATAATTCCTCATGCCACATCCATGTAGTCACTTACCTGCAGGAGTTTTGAAAAGCCTCAACCCTCTTCTACTGAATTAGACTCTCAGGGCCTGGTAATTCCCTTTAATAAACTGGGCTGTCAGTGTAGGTTCAGCCTGGTAGTAAGAGTGCCATGCTCCTGAGGACAAGCCTGCCTTTGGTGAAGTGTTTGTGGGGAACAGAGATGATGATGCTCAGCTGCTTCTTGTCTTCCACTCTCATGGATCTGTTAGTGCTGCTTTTAAAAAGCCTTCATCTTTATTTTCCTCTAATTCAGTCATAAGTTTTAGATGTGGAAGTTGCCTATTTTCTTGTAAAGTATAAATAATTAGTGTGTACTTCTAGTTCTGATAAAATGTCAGATGCACTCATTTCTTACTTTATTTTCAGAGCTGTTTGATAACTACATGCAACAAGATGCCCATGAATTCCTAAATTACCTACTCAATACAATTGCTGATATTCTGCAAGAAGAGAGAAAACAGGAAAAGCAAAATGGCCGCGTACGGAACGGTGATGTGGACACTGAGGATAACAACAGCACACCAGACCCGACATGGGTCCATGAGATTTTTCAGGGAACATTAACTAATGAAACCAGGTGTCTTACTTGTGAAACTGTAAGTCCATCAGAATGCTTGGAATGGAAAACGGTGTGATTTGTTACATTCAAGTTTTTCTTTGAGAACAAGGGTGTGGGAGATGAACTTGAAATTGGAAATCTGAGGAGAGAAATGCGTGTTCCAGGCACCTGTCAATCTAAAGGCATCCACCTATACTTTATGTTGCTGTGTCCGGTGGTGGGTGCTTTCATAGTGCAAGGGTGCTCACTGTAGTTCGAATATTTTGATTTTGTTTTTAGAATCATGTTATTGAAACTTTCTGTAAAGTAACATCATAGGGGACGTACGGGTCATGGACACATAGTCATGAGTCTTAACCACAGGAACTTGCTCTGAGCCAAGCTTGGTTAGATAATTTCATCACCGTGGGACATTCCAGGGTATACTCACAGAAACCTTACACAGTCTAGTCGGTCTGTTGGACCCTCCGTGTTGAGTCTGAATAGCATCAGAAGACATGCTCAACACGAGAGTGCGAGGTGCTGCACATAACAGCAGTCTTCTCTAGGGAATACTTGCTGAAGAGCACTAAAGGAATGTAAAAGGGAATCACAACCCAGAACGTCCAGTGGAGTGAGTGAACATGGAAAGCTGACAGCTGTTCAGCGGTGATGTGCCGTGCTTCTGTGTGACTAGCAGCACAGGAAGCTTGCTGGTGCCATTGTCTCCAGTGCCTGAGTTAATGCATCGCTCACACGGTGAGATGGCTACAGGCTCGCTGGGTGATGGGGACTTACTTTACAGTCCCCTAATAATCTTACAGGGCCACTGTCTTCCTTGTGGGCTGTTAACTACAGCAGTGTGGCATGTGACTGAGTTAATTTATTTCCCCTTTTCTACGGTCGTATACAGAGTTGTTGGAATAGAACAGTCCTGTGTACCCTCAAGGAGAGGCGTACCTTTGGGTGGACACTTGGTAAAGATGAAGCTTCAGTTGGCTGCCAAGAATCAAATAGATCTACATTAGGAAATAAATAAATTCTTTTCATGAGTAACTCTTAGTGGTGGATCTTCCTGGGTCACGGAAGAGGTGCTGGGACAGCAGTCTGTTCAGATGCTTTGCGCCTAGAGAAAGGCCGCCGTGGTGAGAGCCTCTTCATTGCCTGAAGCAGCAGTTCCGTGTAGGACAGTGTTTGATTCTAGGTATTACAGCAGCATTTCCATTGGGATAGTCGATATGGTCAGGGAATTGAACAGATTTTTTATATTTATTATAATAGACTTTGATCTGTTAGACATCAACATATATGTATATACACACACATTTCAGTCTTCAATGAAACAAAATAGTTACTTGTTGAGAAATGTAGTAGCAGGTGAGATTCATCCTGGGAGACTTGTGTAGTGCTCTGCCGGGCCTTTGAAGCCAGGTTTCTATCAGAAGGGGGAGGATAGAGAAAAAACAGTTTAAGGAGAAAGTGGTAACAGCCATCCTGTTCAGTGTTTGACTGTTATTCATGTAACTCTTTTCCTGTCAATAAGTTCTTCTGTGGCCTGAAGTATGTATTGCAGAGAATTTCCTTAAGCCTAAACCATCAGTATGCATATTCACAGCAAGTAATCATGTTCCTGCCTTAAAATAATCTAGTGGGGTGAAATCTGGGTTCCTTCCAGAGTGCGTAAATATCCATTGTTTCTTTTGGTATCACACACATTAAGAACCTGCTCTGCCAGAGAGAAGGTGAGTAGAGGGTGGTAGACGAAGCTGGAAGTCTGACCCTCAAGATGCCTAGCAGGAACAAAGCCTGCCCAGTAATATCCAGACAGTGTTATAGTGGAGGCAAGGATGGCTTCCATGGGTCCTATCATGAGTACATATGCAGCGGATCCAGTGGCGGGTGTTGGAGGGGAGCCAGCAGACACAGGAGCTTTACCTCTGTTCTCTGAAGGTTACTCTTGGTCGTATTCCTTGCCTTGTCTTTTTCCGTTTTTCTCCTTAAATGTGGATGTTTCCTGAGTTTCATTGCATGTTGGTTGTCATTGTGCATCAGGGACATTGTGTTCCGTGTTCATTATCACATGTCCCAGTGAGTCCCCTCTGGATGGATCTCCTGACTGGAGCATCTATATAATGCAGCTGGGCATGTTCAGAAGTGAAATTCTGCCTTACTGGGAGACAGCCTGTGCTTCTCAGAATGTGTGATACAGTATACCCACATCACCGCTCTGGGAAGCTGTGAAATTCTCTTCTTCCTGGCCTCAGCCAGTGAGCTCCTCGGGGGCCTTTGATGTCTTTCCATACAGGAGATGTAACGGGTGGTCATTGGTTCAGTGCCTTTTAAGTACTCCTCTTCAAGTGTTGTCTGTTGAGTGTAAGGAGGAGGAATTGCTTAGTCTGTTGGTAGATAAGTTTAATCTGGCAGCTGAAAACCCTGGTTCTTGGCAATTGAAATAACTCATATATTTACAGATAAGCAGCAAAGATGAAGATTTTTTAGACCTTTCTGTTGACGTGGAACAAAACACATCAATTACTCACTGCTTAAGGTTTGTGTAAAATTATTTCTTTGGCAACTTACTATTTACTATGAAGTGAATTTTTTCAAGCATCCCTAATGTAAGTTCATTTTGCACTTTTCGCAGAGGTTTTAGTAACACAGAGACTCTGTGCAGTGAATATAAATACTACTGTGAAGAGTGCCGGAGCAAGCAGGAAGCACACAAACGGTAATGTCGTGTCTTCTGAGTTAAAACAGAAACCAAAGCGTTAGATCGTATTGTTATTAGGGTGCGTGTGCATGTGTGTCCATGTGTGTGCAATGGCACCAAGCATGGACATCAGAAGAGTGTGTTCAGGGATTGTCCACCATCTAGGGATTGAACTTAGGTTTCAGGCTTGCATAGCAAGCACTTTTACCCACTGAACTATTTGCCAGCCTCTTTTGAAATTATTTTAGTGATTCTTTGGCCATAGATGTTGGGGGTAGCCTTTTCTCTCTGAAATGATCTGAGGAAGTGTCCATTGACACTTTTCAAATGGCATTTGACATGTCTCATTCTTAGTTGTGTTTGTGTGCTCTTAGCATGTATGGATGCGTGTGTATGCAGAGGCAGAGGAGGACACTGGACATTGGATTTTCTGCTCCAATGTTCCCATGTGGGATGTCCTTCTGTATATGTGTTGCTTTGTACCTCAGACCATGCTGTAATAGTCTATAGGCTAAATAAATTCCTTCAACAGCTCTCTGCCTTATTTTCCCTCTGGCTGGGTCTGTTACTGAACCTGAGTTCAGTTGAGTTTACTGTTTTGTGACTAGCCATCCAGCTAGCAAGCCCAGGTGATACTCACATCTCTGTGTTCACACCCCACCCCCACCCCATGTGTGTTGCAGGGTCTCACTGTGTAGTCTTGGCTGCGTTAAACTCCCTGTGTAGATCATGCTTGTCTGAAACTCAGAGATCCGCCTGTCTCTGCCTCCTGAGTGCTGGGATTAAAGGTGTGCACCACCATACCTGGCTTTGGGTTTTGTTAACATGTTTTTTAAACATGTGGGTACTGGGAATCCAAACCCAGGTTCTCATGCTTGCATAGCAAGCATTTTTATCTGCTGAGTCGTCTCTCTGGTCCCGTATTCGTCGTATTAGTGTTAGCAATTAAGGCTCAGTGAGAATTACTAGCTGAGCGATGCTCAGTCTGTAACCGTATATTACTTCTATGATTCATGTCTCCAGGTTTTTGGCTTAGATGTCTTGGAAAGGAGTCCTGCAGTTATGTGTCTTGTTAAGGGTTACACAACTGTAGTGTGTCCTAGGTGTTTGAGTGTTCCTGTGCTCGGTGATTTCCTAGGGCTTGGTACTTGGTATATAGTCACGCTCACAGCTAAGATTATCATGGAAAAGATATAGAGCAAAGGGCAAAGCTAGGCAGGCTTCCAAGAGGCCCTGTTCCGGTGACACAGGACACTGAATTTCCCCTGTCTGATGACATCATGGGAAGCTCTTGGCGGGCTCCATGCCCAGGATTCCTATTGTGTGCTGTCGCATAGGCGTTCTCTGCTGCCTGCTCCAGATTCCAGGCTCTCAGAAGGGAAGCAGGTGTTCAGAATAAATGATCCTGGGCCAGCAGTTGGGCGTAGGGGTAACTGACGTGTGGGATTGGAGGTGTTCCTTAGACCTAAATTCCCACGTGCTGCTCACTGTACTGCTTGCTCCTAGAGCCAGGCTTCCTGAGGGTGGGCTGGCCATGCTGGGGCTCTGCACACAACACTTCCGTTGCCCCTACCCCCGAACTCTCCGTTAAGATGGTTCCTAGAATTCTGCATGGAAGCTACATTTTCCTGTTGTAATTTTTAAGTACTTAGTGTAGAGCTATGTAAGATTGCAAATACTTCATTCTTCATTAACCTGCCATTTGAAAAGCTCCAGGTGCACTCAGACCTCCCTGTTTGAGTGGGTTATAGTCTACCATTGTTCTGCTTTCTTGTTCCTGTTATTTGTAGCTCAGCCGTGACAAGCGGTTCCTTGGTGGCTCCTGTGCCCATTGCTTCGTTACATTCTGAGTTCGACTGAACTTCTTGCACTTACCTGGAAACTAGGCATTTCTGTGAAGGGCTGTGTTCCTGTTCAGGGGCTCTGTGGATGTGTGCCTTGCTGTTCAGATGTCACTATTCCTGAGCCCTTCCTGAACTGAGCAGAGGATGTGTGGACATGCAGAAGTCTGCACCTGCACCTGAACACACTGAAAACTGAATTTGCTAGTGGCTGCCATTGCAGCTGGCAGCATGGGCTTCGTTGCTGTGTCTCTTTGTTAACATTTGTAATTCTCCCTGATAGTGAAGATTGGCTCGGTCATTTTTTTTTTTTTTTTTTGATTGGCAGCCCTGTAAGTAACCAGTCTCTTTCCCAGCCTGACCCTTCCGTCCTCATGCTGATGCCCTCGGTCTGCAGTGCCTTCCCTCCTCCTGTGCTTACACAAACTGCTTTCTTTTTTTGACCCTATATAATAGTCCAACTGATTGCTCATAAAAAGAAGAAAAATAAGCCAAGATTGGGGCATGGAGCAGTACTAGGGGGTCAAAGCCAACATGTAATGATTGAAGAGAATAAGTGTGAACTTTGCTTTTATAAGAATTGATTACTGAACAAGGATTGAGGTAACCTTGGGAGAAATAGCATTGAAGAAGAAAAAAAATATTATAATGTTTCACAATTAAAAGCCAAACTCCTTAATCCCAGATTATTTTATCCCCTTCTAGAGTATGTCATTGTTAAACCTGGTGATTTTTATACAGTGCAAACACCCTGAATTAGTCTTTAATACTGTTGTGGGAGTTTCCATGGGGGAGATAACATTCGTATCCAACTCAGGTCCTGAAGACATACCAAAGAAATTTCACCATCTAACTTGGTGTAGCCCTGAGTTTGTTGGGGTGACTCTGTGGGGTGTGTCTGACAATATAGGAAAACTAAGTCCCCAATCCCCTTGCTCAGCATGCAGGCAGCCCCCATGAAGAGTCTTCTCTTTGCCGGTGTAATTACAGTTCTCAGGGGAAGGTACCAGTGGGATTAATGGTAAGAGATTTGATTAGATTTAAGGTTTACTGCTTGTTGGACGCTATATCTGACACTGTCAGTGAGCCCAAGAACCTCAGTCTAGGCCATGGCCTAGGAAAATCCTACCCTTACCACTCTGCTAAATGGGCATAGCACTGTAGACCATTATAATATAAGTAGGCCCAGACACATATTTGCTACTCAGAGTAGGACTCAAAACAACACATTTTTGCCAATGACAAATAGGTTTGTTTATTCCTGTAGTGTAAAAATCTTTGTTTGACATCCATTTCTGTACCCTGCTCCTTGTGGAAGTGTCTTCCCTGCACAGTGTTGTCAAGATGACTGGAAAAGTATGGTGTGTTGTTCTGCTTTGTGGTGGAAGAGAACTGAGCCCTGTCTGTTGATTGCCAGCTGCAGCAGTGCCCTTTGCGGAGCATTGCCTCAGTCACAGTGGTTTTGCTGGATCCTGAAAGTTGCAGTGGCTCACGGTGCCACAGACCATCAGTGACAGACCTTGGACAGTTGACCTTGGGCTGTGCTCTGAAGTTGCCAGTGGCCACACTCCACTTGTCCCTCAGGCCACAGTCAGAACAAGAAGTGGGCATTGTTGCATAGAAGGAGAGAGGACAGTGCCTGCCCTGCAGCTATAAAGGATCAGGCACTCTCAGCTGGTCACCTTCAAGGCCCTCCACCCCCTGTGAAGCCTCTTCACCCAGCATTGCACTGTGCATTCCTTAGCAGTTCCTGGGCCAGATGAGCTGCTCATGTTGTCAGTGGTCTCTGCTGCCTTATGACCTGGTTTGTACCCAAATAAGAAAACCTCACGTTTGCCTTTGTTTAACAGCAGTTCTGTAGTAGAAAATAAGTGTAAAGTAAAGCAATCCACTAGCAAAAAAGCATGATGTGAGAAGTGTGCTTGAAATGTTGTGTGCAGAAGCATATTTATTAAAAATGTATTTATTTCAGTATCAACGTCATATTTCAACAGGGCCAAAACTGTAATTCCTTTTGCACCAACTTAATTCTTTTAATTCACAGTGAGTGTTTTCTGAAATCCTGTCTTCATATTTATTTTTTAGGATGAAAGTTAAGAAACTACCCATGATTCTGGCTCTACACCTGAAAAGATTTAAGTATATGGACCAGCTTCATCGATACACAAAGCTTTCTTACCGGGTAGTTTTTCCTTTAGAACTTCGTCTATTTAACACTTCAGGAGATGCAACCAACCCTGACAGAATGTACGACCTTGTTGCTGTCGTGGTTCACTGCGGAAGGTAATCGTGACTAGGGCACAGTCCTAGTTGAACAGAGCATGCTCAGAGTGTTGACAGTGACTGGGCAGGGCTGAGGATGACACTTGAGACTTTTTTTATATTAATTTTATGTCAGTGTTTTCCCTGCATGTCCATTTGTGCACCGTGTGTGTGCCTGGTGCCCTTGGAGGCCTGAAGACGTCGGATCCACTAGACGTAGAGTTATATCTGGGTGCTGGGAACTGAACCCTGGTCCTCTGCAAGACCCGCCAGTGCTCTTTACCACGCCCTGCCTGACTCTTCTAGACAGAGTCTTTGCTGCACAGCCTAGGATGGCCTGAAATTTCCGTCCTCCTGCCTCAGTCTCCCGACTCTGGAATTATACTCTCTGCTACCACACCTGGCTGGATGCTAGCATCCTTCATCTTTTTTAAGATCAGTTTGCTTTAAAATCAGTTTCTGACATAGGTATTTTATCACTCTTCTTTAGAACCTTTATGTGTTTTAAATTTATGCCTTCATTTTTATTTTATTTTTTTCTTCTTTTTTTGGTTTTTTGAGACAGGGTTTCTCTGTAGCTTTGGAGCCTGTCCTGGAAGCTCTTGTAGACCAGGCTGGCCTCAAACTCACAAAGATCCACCTGTCTCTGCCTCCCAAGTGTTGGGATTAAAGGCGTGCGCCACCACTGTCCGGCTCTTTTTTATTCTTGTTTACCTATTAGTCTAAGGGCCCTATGTCACAGCCTCTAGAGCTTGACAGTCTATTGGCTTCCTTTACCTGTTTGGTTTGGGTCTTGAAATGATGCCTGAGGAGATTTTCAAGATAAACTGTCCCTGCATGTGCTTAGTTGTGTTTTGTGTCGGTGGCTTTGGGAATTGCCTTCAGAAGTTCTGATTTTACCTCCGTGCACATTTATCATTTCCAACCAGCCAGATCACACCCAGTCCCACTCTCGTCCTCTTTTCCTGCACTCTGCGTGGATACATGCTTGGATCCTTTCTTGCGGGGCAGGGGACAGTGTTGTGATTTGGGGACTGGACCCAGAGCCTTACACATGCCGAGTATATGTTGTACCCTGAGCTACATGCCCAGATCTTTAAATGTGCATAGCATTCCTCCAGAGTACGGGAGTTAATCCCCAGCACCCATCTCTGGAAGCTCACAAGGGCCTCTAACCAGCTCTAGGGACTGAAGCACTCTTCAGGCCTATTGAGGGCATCTGTACTCATGTGCACCAACACACACGTGCACACACATTTTTTTTAACTTTGAAATTTAGGACAAGAAGGTAATATGAATATAACATTTTTAAAAAGTTAACTTTTCTTCTTTTTTCTTTTGTTTTAGTGGTCCCAATCGAGGCCATTATATTGCAATAGTTAAGAGTCATGATTTTTGGTTGTTGTTTGATGACGACATTGTAGAAGTAAGTAGCTTCTTTGCTTCTTTGGAGTTGTACATTTTCCCTTCACAGCTGCTCGCTCATGTGACGGATGGTAGGTATTAGTCAGTTGTTCAGGGCTTTAGATTACCAGCCAGCCTTATACAGCCCAGAATAACAAAGGAAGATTTAACAGTCCTGTTGTGTAGTTTTGTAAAAATGTTTCTTTTTCTAAAAGATATTGAGTGCAGAAGTTAACACTTGTATTAGTTAGATTTTGTTACTATGATAAAACACCAAGACCAAGGCATTTTATAGAAGAAAGAGGTTTGGTTTGGGTATTGGTTTCTTGAGACAGGGTTTTTATTTGTAGCCTTGACTGTCCTGGAGCTCACTCTGTAGACCAGGCTGGCCTTGATCTCACAGTGTGCTGCTTGCCTCTGCCTCTTTGGAGTGCTGGGATTAAGGGTGTGTGCTGCCACCACTTGGCAAAAGAAAGAGTTTAATTGAGCTCATGGTTTCAGATGGTTAGAGTCCATGATAGAGGCAGTAAGAGTTCACATTTTGATCTGCATGCAGAGAGAGTACAATGGGAATGAGGAGAGTCTTTTAAAATGGCAAAGCCCTGTCGGGCGGTGGTGCCACATGCCTCAGGAGGCAGAGGCAGGCCGATCTCTTGAGTTCGAGGCCAGCCTGGTCTACAAGAGCTAGTTCCAGGACAGGTTCCAAAGCTACAGAGAAATCCTGTTTTACAAAACAAAACAAACAGATAAATAAAATTGCAAAGCCCACCCCCCAGTGACACACCTCCTCCAACAAGGACACACCTCCTAATCCTTCCCAGACTGTTCAACCAGAGACCAAGCATTCAAACGCGTGCGAGTTCATGAGGGCCCTTCTCATTCAACCCACCACATCCATTATAAGCTTTTCTTTGTGAAGGTGTACACACTCAGATGTGTGCTTGCACATCAGCCGGGTGCAGTGTGGTGGGTTTTCAGCACCCCGGCAGGCTCAACAGCGCTCCATCTTTCTGTTTTCCATCCTTTGGCACTTGTTAGACTTTTGCTGTGATGATTAATTTTTGTTCTGCTTCACAGTGACTCTAGGCCTGGTCCTTGTCCTTACTCTAGTGTGAGATTCATCCCCACAGTGCACAGTGCCCACTGCGCCACGTGGCGCCTGTTCACTGCTTTGTGATTTTCTGCTGGTGGGTATAGCAGCCGAGACATGGCCTTTTGTAGGTTATGGAGTGTTATGAGCAGAAGTGCTTAGATCATCCTTGTCCTGGTCCTTTATTAACAGACACTCTCATTGCTCTTGACTCTGTGTTAGGCTAGACTGCTGGAGCGTGCCATTTGTACACATCCAAAACAGTTGACAATTAATGTGCTTCATGTGTTTCAACTGACACTGGGAAGGCGAGGTGCTGGCTCAAGGGTAGCTGTTGTATTCAGCGTTGGAGTTGGAGCTATTGCGAAAGGTGTTTCCAGCACGACTGTAACACTTCTCAGCATGTGGCTGAACAGTGTTTCCCCGTCCTTAGCGACCTTGGATACTGTTGTAGTTTAAAGCATGGTCGTCATAGCTGAATGTGCTAATGTTTTTGTTCTGCCTCACAGAAAATAGATGCACAAGCTATTGAAGAATTCTACGGGTTGACGTCTGATATCTCCAAGAACTCGGAGTCTGGGTACATCCTTTTCTATCAGTCTCGAGACTGAAGGGAGCCAAGGTGAAGAGAAGCGGCTGCATGCTTCTCTGGTGGTTTCGGAAAGGATCAAGCTGATGTTCAAGAAGAGAGAGATGCAGGACGCTCAGGGCAGTAGCACACTTTGCATACAATAAAGCAAAGACTGTGGATTAACATGCCCTTCCGATCACAGTAGTTGAATTTTTTGCTCAGGAATCATGCTGTCTGTGCAGTTCCACACAAGCAAGTGAAATCAGAGATACCAGCTCCTCTTGTAAAGCAGCTGCCAGCTGCCGACACACATTTTCTCTGTAACCGCACCAATGATGATTTGAGTTCCTCGGGAGGGCAGTGGAAGAATTAGAATGTGCTCGGTTGCTGGAGCGCGCCTCACTGTGTGCGCACGGGATGCTTACACTGTGGATGGGAGCAGCTGAGTGGTCTTTTCAGACGTACCTTTTGGAAAGTACCTTTGGGCCCAACACTCGCAGTTGCCTTCCTGACACCCAGAACTAGCAACATGGAGCCCAGTGTCAGGAAGTCAAGGATACTCTGCTTCTCTGGAGAAGCGTGTGATAATGTACAGTGTGTGTACACAGAGGGGACAGTGGGTCAGAAGTGGCTTCTTGGTTCCCCCAGGGGAAAGACTGGCTTTGTAATGATCATTTTCCTTATTTATTTTATTAAACTGGTGGAGTCCGAGCATTATATGAAGTGCCGGTGATTCTGTCAGCAAATCCTAGCACATTTTCCCAGTGTGTCAGGAGGTAGTTCTGTTGTCTGTCTCTGTAAGGTGAACTGAAGAATCTAGTAATCACTAAGATAATCATGACATGATCGCAGTGGTGGGTAGATACTGTCAGGAGGGCTCTCCCTGGCTGAATAGTTTCTCTTTGTCATAGTTGTCACTTGCTTTTTTAAGGTTTTTTTTTTTTCAGTGAAGTAGAAACCCTGTTGCTAGAATGATAAAGGAAACCCCAGTGTGATGTCAGCACACTGTCGGTCAGAACCCCAAAACTGCTAGCAGTTGTTAGTCTCTTTAGCCTTGGGAAGGACTGCTGGGCCCATTAGAACCTCAGTAGCCAGGGAGCAGCTTAGAGCCCTTTGGAAGATTACAGTAATCTAGAGGAGAAGCCCCTCCCCCTCCTGACCTGCAGCAGCCATTAGAATGGTGTTCAGGAGCTTGTGACACAGTGCAGGGAGTCTCCGTGGACGGCTGAGCATCAAGTGGTATGGCAGGGCTCAGTGTAACTTGCAGAAAGCAGTGGAAGATTATGGTCCAAGTCCCAGCAGCCCAGCACTGAGTGGTCCATCACACTGCACTCTGCATGCCGTGGTGGTGGCCCGTTGATAAGCCCCTAATTTTCTAAAGTTATTTTACTAAAACTGTTGACTGAGAAGCAAACAGCAAAAAGAAATGTTTTTGTGCTGCTATTAACATTTATTTTCTGTACCTTTTAGCTCAGGAAATGACCTCATCTAGTCATCCCATACGCCGATGTATAACAGGGTCACTTAGCTAATTGGGCTTCATAGACAGATGTGTTGGAAGAAAAAGATGATCTTTTGACAAACTCATTTTATAGTTTCTGAAGCCTTACCTGGCTGGGGTTTGTGATCTTTGCCAGCACCGCACAGAGAGCACAGCCAGGAGCGTGGGGGAGTCAGAGCTGTGAGAGCAGGTGCACATCGAGGGCTTCAAACAAATTGTGTGGGAATGCAGAACTGCGTTTTTTGCAGCTTTGTGTTCAAAGAAAAGGCATAAAGTATGGCTGGGTCCTCGAGGCTGCCCCTTGCAGCACTGAAGTACTGTGCTGTTGGTTGTACACAGTTTTCTTGAATTTAAAACGTACGCAGAAGAAAGCCTAGTTCCGCATGGCAGCAAGTCCTAGCAAGGGTGCTGAGCTGGCAGTCAGCCACTCCCCGCTCGGGTCCGCTCTGGACAGTTCAGGGGAAGGACTGCTGACTGTTGCCTCTGCTCCTTTTCATAGTGAGATGGAGCTAAGTAAAACATTTTGATTTTATCAGAAACTCAATAAACTTATAAAAAAAATCCAGGGTTTGGGTTGGGGACTGGGAATATCAGGTGTAGTAGGTGGAAAAGGTGACCCGGCCAGCACGTGTTTCCAGGTGATTGTTCTTTGCCTGTGATTCTGATGAGGCCAGGTGCCAGTTGCGAACAAGCCTAGTTGCTGTGTAATTATGTACATGTTTGCTGGGGCAGCTGTCCCAAATTTTGTATATTAGAACAAAAGTTTCTATGAATTATCATAACTAAAAGTAAATATTCTAAGTTAAGCCCCACTTCTGAGTCATGTGACTTCTGCCATAGGAATTTTACCTTTAGAAGGTCACTTACGACAGGAGCCACGCGGCTTAGGAAGGGGGCAAGGAAATGTGCTGTAGTGGCCTCACGGCCTCAGCCATCAGTGTAGGGTTTTTCTTTCCTTGATGGCCGTAGGAAGACCTCACTTTCATATACGCCTGATACTTTCTGTAAAGATTCTTTTCATTTAAAATTTTCTTCGTGAGGGATGTGGCTGGGAGCTGGGAGGCAAGGTGCTGGAGTCCTGGCTCTCCAGTGAACTTAACTGTGTGACCGTGGGCAAGTCACTAACCTCTCTGTGCTTCAGTCTCCCTCCTGTCAATGGGAGTAATACCTACCTCACAGGGTTGTTGTGGGGATTAATTAGAAATAATGTCTGTAAAGCATTTAAGGTTCTTGAAGAAGGCGCTATATAAATACAAAATAATATCTATTAAAATTGGCTTATTTGTGATTGTTGGCTTTTACGTATATATTTTTTTCTTTTTGCCCAAAATGTATTTGGAATTAGAAGCATACACTTTAGGACTTGTGTTAGTCCTTTTGTGTGATTTAGAGCTTTTGTTACTCAAAGTTCCTAGAAGCCCACATGTGTATGAACAGTGATTTGTGGCTCTCAGTTCTGAACAGCCGTCTGCTGTGTTTTCCAGCACCGTGACGACGTACTAAGACTTGTGGTTCCGGGGGCTCAGTTCACGGTCAGTTGGCTCCATGAGTTGGAGCTGTGACAGACGGACTACCTGGCCCACAGAGCTGGGGCCGCACCTGAAAGCCATATCCGGCCCTCACTCGCCACTGTTGGCCCTGTCTCTGAACAGCCCCACCAAGCCTTCCCCATGAATCTCAGGGAACTCTGGGTCCAGACCTGCCCTTGTGCAAAGATGTGCCTTTTAAGAGAAATCCCTAGTTTTTACTCAGAATCAGGCTGTAAGAGGGACGTTGCAGAGGTCAGTGTCTGTCTGTCTCTCCTGGCAGCACAGACTGAGCTTCTGTAACATCTGCTCATGCGTTCTGGCTCTTGTCCGACACTGCACTTCCCTTGTGTCTGACCACTCTAGAGTGATGCTGTCCTCAGAACGGGTCAGGAAGTTGTCCCCGTTAGACTGTTTGGTTGAGTTCCGAACAGCAAAAGCGGTTTTCTGTTTGTTGGCTTTTAACCAGTAACTAATACTTGTAAGTCATCCTTGAGGAGTTGGAGGCATACACAGTCTTGTCATTAAAGCACTCACTGAGGAGCCAGCCGGTGGCCTTGCACGGTTTTAATCCTCGCACTCGGGAGGCGGAGGCAGAGGCAGGCGGATCTCTTGTGAGTCAGAGGCCAGCCTCTTCTATAGAGTGAGTTCCAGGACAGCCAGGGCTACACGGAGAAACCTTGTCTCAAAAAACAACAAAAGAATTGTCTTAATGTTAAGAAAAGAATCCTCTCTGACCAGACGAGCCATTCCTAAATCTGAGTAATTGTAGAATGTTCTGGTTTCAGAAATAAGTTCTGAGAGATTTTCCTTCACAGAGGTAAAGAACCCCACCCCCAGTGGAGCTAAGCAGATGCTGGGCTTCCTGACTTGAGCATATGTGGGGCTCTGCATCTCGTGTCTGTGAGCCACTACCAGTCCAGCGTTGACCCGAAGTGAGAGTTATCCACTACTTTCTCAGCCTGGACAGGGGAAGCTTACAGAGTGGAACATACATAACACCTCAGAGTTGCCAGTGGGTTGTGCCGGAGTTGAACTGGGACCACACTGGGAAGCGGGGAGAGCATGGGCCTGCATTTCTGGCACTGCCGTTTCTGCAGTGGGAGGAGCCGACAGTGGGAAATGAAATGTCAAGCCAACACCATTGGAACTTTTGAGACAGGGTTTCTCTGTGTAGCCTGGCTGTCCTGGAACTCACTCTGTAACCAGGCTGGCCTCGAACTCACAGAGATCCACCCTCCTCTGCCTCCTTCCATTAGAAGCTTTTTAAGTGGGATTCTTAGAGCCAGCTACAATCTGTGCTAGAGTCTCACGTGCCTTCCCAGATGTGGCAGCCCACTAGAAGCACACTGAAGGTTGTAGGTAATTGGCCCCATACTTTCTGTTCCCGTGACCACATTTCCTTATTCTGTTCTTTGCTCTTCACACTAGATGAGGGTAGGTTGCTGAAGTTTACCATTGGAAAATTGCCTCTGCTTCTTCCTCTTCCTAAGAAGAGAGGAGGGTGAGCTGAATACACCAGGGCCGAAATTCCAACGAGATTTTCTGTTTGAGGCAGGCTGGTCTCAAAATCAAATCAGTGGCATTGGGCACATCCACTCCACATCCACAAAACACTACTCAAAGGTTGTTTAGGTTTGGAGGGTTGAAGAAACATTACAGCCTCTGTGATGAAAGACTTCCTTTTAAAACACCTGCAATCCCAGCACTCTGGAAGTGGATGCCAGAGGGTCGTGGGTTCAAAGCCATCATCAGCTACACAAGTAATTTGTAATTTGAGGCCATTCTGAGCCACATGAGACCCTCTCTCCAAAATGAAGGATCAGAAGCATGCCCTGCTATGTGAGAGTGTTATTTGTAATACTCCCCGTAAAGTCCTGAAAGCATATTGGGTCACTTGTAAACAGTGTTGAAGAAAAATAAAACCATCTTACTATGTTTCTAAAAACTTGCACTACTCTTGTTGTGTTAGTTCCTATTCTATTACTGTGAAAACACCATGACCAAGGCAACTTCAGAAAGAAAATACTGAATTGAGCTTAGAAATTGGTTTCTAGAGGGTTGGTGTCCTGGAGGGTGGAGTAAAGGCATGGTGGCGGAGACAGCACACTGAACTTGAGGAAACTCAAAGCCTACCAACCAGTGATGTACTCTCTAACCCTTCCCAAACAGTTTTACCAACTGGGGACCAAGTAGTCAAACATAGGAGTGTATGGGGACCATTCTCTTTCAAACCACTATACCCGCCAAAAAGCAAGGCCCGTTTCAAATGCAGTATGAACATTGTGGTGTTGATTTGTATGTGTGACAGACTTTCTATTCTCCATGCTAAACTATCAGAGCTAATTGCATATTACATTCGTTTAACTTGACATTAGGCAGGGTGAGATGGTTTATGACCTGTGCCAAAGTGGATGGGTGGAAAGCCGCTCTTGGGCTGCAGTCAGGAGATGGCATGGAGCGGCTGTGATGAGACTCCAGAGATGAGACTGGGCTGAAGGACAGGGACGGGAGTGCCAGGGACAGTTCCTATTTCTCCAGTTTCCCAATGGGGTGATGGGAAAGACAACACAGGGAGAGAACCTTGTCTGTGGCTCAAGTTTGGTTACAAGTATTTGCTTCTAAGAAACTGACCTTGCCTGGCATTTCCAGCAGCCTGGAGTTCATGACGGCTTGTCATTAGCTTGACCCACCGAGCTTGTACTGCACGTTAGCCTCTGACCCCCTCCCCCATGTCACAAGAGCAAAGCTGTCCTGTTGGGACTTGAGGTGCAGTAGAGATGAAATGGGCTGGTATGCTCCATAGGAGGACGGTTTGGTGTCCTCCCTTGCAGGGTGTCGCGAAGACTACCGATTCTGGTTTGTGTCGAGTTGACAAAACCTAATGAGCACACTCTAGCTTTCCGATGCTCTTGATAAACACTACAGTTGAAAAGAGTTTGCGGTTAAACTGGTTTGAAAACTGGCCAGTTTCCTATAGATTCATGGGAGCCGGAGACATGGTTCAGAGGGTAAAAGCACTGGCTTCTCTTCCAGAGGACCCAGGTTCAATTCCCAGCTCCTATGTGGCAGCTTATAGCTTTCTCCAGTTCCAAGGGATCTGGCACCTTCTCAAAGACATACATACATGCAGGAAAAACACCAATGCAAATAAGTAAAATCTTAAAAAAACAAAACTTCCCACCCCCACCCCATCCCCCCCCAAAAAACTGGCCACATTACTTATGGGCTCTTTATAGCCCAGCCTGTCTGTGTGGACATTGTAAGATTTCTGTAAATGTATAAAAGCTCCGCCTCCATTTTGGACATGTGTCACACTTTCCCCACCCCCCTCATTTTCTCACTAAATATTTATGAGCCTCCTACGAAGACCAAAGCACAGAGTTGTCATGCTCCTTGTTGCTGTCCATCCAGAACTGCCTGAAAACAGCAGACTGTCTCAGACTTGGATTGACCTGTCCTGTGGATGACCATGTCCTCTGCACTGCTGATCATCAGCCTTGACTACTGAAGGCTATAATTCTTCGGTTTGCAGAAAGATACTGTGTTATTCAGGGTTTTCTAGGGGGCAGAATTTAAAGAATGAATATATGTATTCATTGAACCTGGGTCCTCTGTAGGAGCACTGTTGAACCCTACTTATTTTTTTAGTTATGTGTTTTTAGGGGTTGGAGTACCTGCAGTGCATGCATACACATACATATACACACATTCAAGTGTGTGTATATATATGTGTGTGTGTTCTAATGAATCATATTTATTAGAATGACATGCAGGCTTTGGCCCAGCTTATCTAACAATGGCCGTCTACCAGTAGAAGGTCCCAAGAATCCAGAAGTTGTTCAGTCTACAAGGGCTGGATGTCTTTGCTGGTCTTCAATATATACTTGAATCCCAAAGAAGTACGCTCTAATGCCAGTGAAGAAATTCGTGTGCTAGTGAAAGCAAGAACAGGCAGGCAACAAGAGAGCTGGCTTCTTTCTTCCACGTCCTTTAGGCTGCCAGTAGAAGGTGTGGCCCAGATTAAAGGTGGATCTTCCCTCCTCAAAGATCCGGATTAGAAGTGAGTTTTCCCACTTCAAATGATTTAATTTAAAAAAAAAAAACCAAAATCCTCCACAGGTGTGTCCAGCCACTTGGGTTCGTTGCTTCCAGATGTCATCAGTTGACAAGCAAGGAGAGCCATCACAGGTATTTAACCTCATAAACCGTGTGTGACTCAGAGTACTGGGTAGTGCCACGATTAGCTAACTCAGCCAAGCTCTTCGGTTTTCCAGCAGTAGTTACAGAATTGAAACACTTTGGCTGTTACTGACAAGTGTCTCAGTCTGAAATTAAGATAGAGAAAGTCTCCCCAGAAGCCCTCTGGGGATGAAGTCACCTCCGCAGTTAAAGGGGGTCTGCTCATTTGATACTTTATGTGCCTAATTTCCATGTCTTGGATGCGAGTCTTGTCAGCTGTGGGCATTGCAACGCGTCTTCAAAGTCAAGGTCAGAAAGAGTTTAATAGGGGGAGCTACTATTTTCCCGAGGATTAAACTAAGCAGAGAATGGAATTATTACATAATCAATTACATCGGCTACTTGATTAAAAACACAAATGCGATTTAGCCTGGAATTATCCTCTGGTTTGCTGTTCTCCAAAATGAGATTACAGTAACAAGGGAGCAAAGCCTTCAGAACACAAGCAGCTACCGTGACACCGTGGGTCCCTGGGGGAGTGCACGTCTGACAAGGATTGTGTGTTCGTGAAATATTAGGA